TAAAAGCCATTGTCAAATAAGTTACCTCTTTCGAAAGCGCTCTAATAAAGCAATTTGCCGACGGAGGTCTGCGAACCTACCCCTGTTCAAGACAAAGTTTATGCGGATAATGGTAGGGTTGGTCGGTTTTCTGATTTCCCGAGATATAATGATAAATATATTGCTGTGGAAGGCCAAAAGTTGCAGCAGTGTTCAATAAATCAGAATAATTACCACGTCAGTAATCGATAATGGTGATTGATTTCGGCAATTAGCGACTCCGTGCAGATTAACAAGCAATTATTGCACCTAATACGTTTCTAATTGCCAAGCGCTCGCGCTGACGTCAGTACTGCCCTGGTCGCATGCAAACCACCTATAAATATAGCGCTCGTTTGCGTCTTTTACGTTTATCTGCGACATATCTGAGATGATATCCAGGACGTCAGGCAAACAAGCTTTTCCTCATCAAAAGTTATATTTAGTTTTTATCTGCAATGGATTCTGCTGGATTACAAGGTCATTAAACTTTCGGTGACGATTTTAAGGTTCTCAGCGTCCTTAATCGACTACCGAAATATTTGGTTACTGCTGCCCATATCTGACAAGAACTTCCAAAAATCATGTTGCTTCTGAAGCATTTATTAGAGCAGTAGATTCGTAGATGCTCTACTTCGAGCAGATAGCTGTCTTATCACATTAATAGATTTAAGAAAGTCCACAGGAACAAAATTTGAGAAAAAATTGAAACAGCTGGTCGCTTTCTGCAACTTTTTTAAAACTAATGACGGTTGTTTGCCGAGGACGAAATTGATCACATTTCTCTTAAAAATGCAGTTGTTTTCATCATCTCCGCTTTTTTGCTGTCGTTTTCCAATCATCAGTGCACCACTCAAATGGCTTCGTGATATTAAAATATCATTAAAACTCCTAATGCTCAGACCGGTTCGTTTCTTATTTATTGACTTGCGTAAACCAAAGGGTACAAAAGTACATTATAATATGCTCAGCCAAGATTTTTAATGCATATTCAGAAGTAACAGGAACGTCCGGGTGAGTTAAAAAATTGTTTGTGTTTTATGCAAAGCGAAAAAGCGCCCTTTCAAATCCTGCTCCACCTGGATGACGCGGAAATAAAGTCGCTTTCAAAAGAAGGTGGAAGTTTGAGTTCCAGGTGTATTCGTAAGCAGTTTCGAGCACCGGAACATTTTGTTTACTGTCCTGAGCTTTCGACCGCGTGCTTGAGTCCATCGTCAGAGGCTTTGGGTCGCCTATTTTTAAAATCAAGCTTGCGTATAATGTACCTACTTAAAATAGTGTCAAAAAGTGCATCGCGATCATAGACCATCCTTTAGATTTACGTAGTGCGCAGTGCACATGCAAATTTGTGTCATGTCCCCAAACAGACATTTTAAAAAGACAACAGAAGGTGCTGAGTTAAGGATATTTTTTGCCTCCTACAACGTCGACTGCCGCATTAGCAAAACTAATATTAAAAATTGTATAGAGTAGTTAATAGTAGGTGTAAAAAAACTGTGACGCACGCCAAGGCAGCAGATATAATTCAGAAAAGCAAACGTATTGGTCAACAATAGTTTTTGCACTGCCAACAGAAGCGAAGAGACGGATCCTAGAAAGCAGTCGTGAAAAAGGAGACACATTCGCTGGGATAAGAGCTTTATTCGTCTGACGTTTCGGATTTCTGCCTGAACCCGTCATCAGAGACAATAGCAGATATGAGTGGTTTATACACAAGGGACCACAGTATTTACAAGATGCAGTCACCATGCTACCGCATACCTATAAATATTAATGTCTCCACCCCCCCCCCTCATCAGGGACTGTTGCACTTGGCATGATGACTGTTTGATGACCGACATTCGTGTCTTTAATTGCTGCAATTCTATGACCCGTTCTGGATGCTGTTGTGAGGATTGATCGACTATCTGACCCAGCGACAATCCCGTTGGGAACGGTGTTCGCCTTTGCGCCCCCACATGGCTAATTACCCCGCATATGCGAAGTCTCAGCACCGACTATCGAAGGCGGAGGTCGTTCCATTTGTTAATAGACTAGGAGCCGGTGAACTATGACTCAAGCAGCTCGCGGCTCATGCGGTTGTCACCTCTAGCAAGAATTTCACCCTCGTCCAAATTAAATGCGTTGCCGGATCGCGTTGATTGAGTCGCAACTGGAAAGCTGGCGTCATTTCTCCTCACCGCTGAATCGTTTTCGACCGTTTGCATTCGAAGCAGTCTTCCAGTTTCTCCGACTTCGTTGCTTTGTTCGCAACTGCATCAGATCCGACAAACGACTCCAGACGTTTCTTTCCGTGGCAGCGGGTCTTTCGTTTTCATTAACTGACGTCTGATAGTTGCCTCCGGTCTTTGTGCAACCCCAACTCCAAGTGGTGCGAAAAGGTGGTCGATAGTTTCCAAAACGTCCTTGACATACGGAAACGTTCGCCGAAATTCGGAATTCATGCGGTTTGTCCTTCCATCCCTTTTGGGTATGCACCGGTTGACGAAGGTCGCTATGGGCTTTAAAAACTCGTCGGAGGTATTGTAGTTCGACAATCTTGTCTCTTGGCTCACTGCAATGCGCTTCGACACGCCGATATAACGTCCTTATATAACTGCGTTTGTTGCTGATTTGGTGGTTGCCGTTAAAGTTCAGCTCTTGCGTCGTATCTGTCGCTTTCCTGAACAATTTGGTCTTTAGGCTACCGCAATCTTCGCGGCAGATGAGGCCAGCTAATTGTTCTCTACCTCCTTCATTGTGAAGTTTATGCCCGGAAAGACTGCATTCGGACGTTCTTTGAATATCAGCAGTTGATCCCGGTCGATGACAACGAAGGTAATATCCAGAACTTCGGTCTATGGTATTGAAAAAACCTGCGGCTCTAACCGTCGCAGGATCGCCTCGGTTGCACTGGACAGGACAGACTGTCTTTAGAAACCCAGAGGTTTACTGGGGGACCAACAGTTCTATGTTCCATGTGCAACATACCCTGTACAAACGCTGTTATACGAAATTAATGCTACGTTGTTGGCTCATTTAGACAGAATCGAGTTTTAGTCATGCATCTTCGCGTTTTATGCAACAATTATTTTCAAGAAGAAATAGAGAGATTTTCGCTCACAAACGTGAGTTGCAATAAGTCTGTTAATGGGCTAGACGTACGAGCACTTTTTGCGGCAAAAGAAGTAGCGAAAGAGATTTACTTGGCGCGTGCTAACTGTCCTTGCATGTACAGTAGCCCTAAAGGCCTTAGTTGCGGAAATCTAATAATAGAGCCTGTGTCATGCCATGCACACATTCACTTCATATATTTAAGCATGGTTTCAATTTAGTCACTTCGCGGCTGAACTCACAGACGTAGTGAAGGGAAAAAATCATTTGCGAGAATTTCTCCAATGTAAACAAGTCCTGTCCTGCAAAGATACTTTCCCGCACTTCCATGCGCATCGCAAAACACCTTTGAAAACCTGTCTCATTCTACTCCTCCTATTTGTTTACTTTGACCTCCACCTCTACCAAATCCCCGAGAAGATGACTCCTGTTGTCTGCCTCCGTCGTCCAACAACGAGGACAGCTGACTCATGTCGAGCCACCTATCTGCTGTCTAGTGAAACAATCTCTCCGCCCCCACGTCTTGTTTAGGTCGCCATCAGCAGACGCAAAACTCATGATTCCAACTGGATTAACTCTCTGAGTGGCTCCGTCTTCTGCACAACGCCCATATTCCTTTATTTTACTATATTTTTCATCTCTTTTTGGAAATATGCGTGTACAAAATTATCTGGAGGTTTTAACTTTGTCGCAAACTCGGGAAAGCATCCCAAGGACTTCGAAATTCCTGTTGTTTGTTCTCCATGTTTTTTAATCATATCTTTTTGTTCCGTTCCCCGTATAGTGTTTGTCCTCGTCGCGTTCAAGCTCTTTCGTATCTTAGTCCATTCAGAAGATGATATTTATTCCGTAAATGGTGAACTTCGCAGTTTCCAACAGTTTTCGTTAGGCATTTATAAAAACTTCAGCCGCAGCCTTGGATTTGTTAACAGAAGTGTGTTGGTCAGGTTAATTTATAAAATTGCTGTGCATCGCGTCTGCCACATTAGCTCTTGTTTTTATATTGCTTGCAGCAAACAAGTAAAATAAATTTGTTGGTGCCGTTTGATTCTTTGCAGATCGCTGAATAGCCGCGACTGTAAAGAAAGTTGAAGAAATAAACATTTAATGGTGACCTCCCAATTCAAATTTATTCGTTTTCAGGTGTGGCCTTAATTGGTTAAGAATATATATATATATATACTGAAGGACATCTCGCGTTTTATTTCAAACGCCACATAACGGTTTCTCAAACCTAAATGATTTGAACACAACCCCACTGGACACAAGCCCAAAACCGCTTTGAATTTTCACTTTATAAATGTGCATTTTTAAGGACGCATATACGTCGTATTGCTGTTTACCTAATTACATAAATGCATTGAGTAATATCAGACATTTGTGCGCTGAAACTCTACCTATTGGTGAAAGTGCATAGGCGAAAACTACAAAAATACTCTGAGCATCGTTATTTGTGAGCGGCTGTCAGCACACTTCTCAAGACAGTCATCACTGCGTTGACCTGCCTGCAACTTTTGGGGACCACGTGTTAGTCTAATACTGAACTGTTCACCTTAAGGGATTTTCCATGCACAGTCAATAGAAAACAATAGTTACCTTCAATCCTTGCATCACTCGTTTTCCCGTCCAATAAGAAACCTGCAGAAAGCGTTGTGAAACTCAAATCACAACTTCGCCCAGTAAGCAACGCCGCCGCACAACCGCTTCCAACGTGTCCTCGATGTCAACGGACATTCCGGGCTCGAATCGGACTTGTTGGACATCTTCGGATTAACTGCGCCTCTCGAACGGCACCAACCATCGTCCCCCCGCCTGCCTCTTCCTCCTCCTCTCCGCCGCAAACTAACCCTGACAATTCTCCTGACCCACCACTTCCATCATTCTCCTCCTCCTCCTCCTCCTCCTCCTCGCCCACTGCTCCAACGGCGGCCGCTCAGGCGACTGTCCCACGCACAGCAACCGACACTACCACCACCTTCCCCGACTCCAGCGATGAGGATCAGGACTACACCTGCCCTCACTGCGACCGTACTTTCACCTCACACATCGGCCTGGTCGGTCACTTGCGAATCCATCGCACAGAGCCTGGCGAACCAGTGCCTGGAGCACCCACCTATACCCATCAAGCTCGCCTCCACTGCCCACACTGCCCTCGCACCTTCACGCATCGCATGGGCCTTTTCGGCCACATGCGCATCCACGAGAGCGGCCTTGACCGCACTCCCGACACACCCACTACATCCAACACATCCACTGTGCACACCCCCACTCTCGTTCCATCCGTCCGCGACACCACCACCACCGCCTCCTCTGTAGCTGACACTGACACCGCCGACTTCTCATGCCCACACTGTCCACGCACATTCACCTCACGCATCGGCCTGGTCGGTCACTTGCGAATCCATCGCACAGAGACTGGCGAACCAGTGCCTGGAGCACCCACCTATACCCATCAAGCTCGTCTCAACTGCCCACACTGTCCTCGCACTTTCAGGCATCGCATGAGCCTATTCGGCCACATGTGCATCCACGACGACCTGCGGTAGACAACCGCCGGCCACACCACACATTCACTCACTCCCTACCTCCTCCACCACCACCATCACCCCACCAGAAATCAACACTCACACACCTCATGCACCCAACTGCCACCTCCCACGCAAGTGGGAAGTGTGCATCTCGACTCGGTCCCCATGCGGCTTCGGCTGCACGGGTGACTTGAGTCCGAGACTATCCCGACACGTCAAGCGTCGTGGATAGGAAGGTTGCTGATTGACGCCCGTTCTCGGTTCACGCAGTTCGTCGCGTTGTGTGTGTGTGTGTTGTGTGGAGTGGCAGACTGGTGGGCTGGGGACGAGCTGAAGCAGTACCTTTCACGGCCCTCTCACGCAAGTGAGAGACACGCCGTTCAACCCCCGTTGTGTGAAATCCTGGTGTTTGTGTGTATGGGGGGCCAGGTCGTGCTGTGGCGCGCGCAGGCATGGTCAGTCGACCATGTCAGCCACCGCGCCCATTCCCCACTCCAGTCTTCTGACCGGCTCGGACAGCGGCTGGGGTGTGGGGATGGGAAGGGAGAGTGAGGTCGACGACTCAGCGCACTTTCTCCTCACTATAAACAATCTGACGCGCTTGAAGCTATCACGGTGCGCTAAAAGCCGTGGCTTGGAAGGTTGCCAACTGACGGGGTACCTTGGACCTCCTCCTTCACTGGAGGCGGTCTGAGAGTCAGGCTGCAATGGCTCCTTTTTAATGTGGCCTTTATGGCATTCCCACCACAGTGTGGGATCTGAGCCAGGCGTTGGCGGCACGCCCAGGTGCGGCTTCGGCCGTGCCAGCCTCCAAATCTCTGTTGTGTTGGTTGAAATCCTGATTATTTGTTGTGTGGACCAGGGGGTGTGGTGGAACGCCAAGGTGAGGATCCGTCCGAGCCATCCACCTGCGGCCTCCCTCGTCTCCGGTCTTCTTGACTCTGTCTTGACACCGGGTCCAGGCGGGGGAGGAGGAGAGAGTGTAGGTAGATGCTACGCAAGTCTACCGGCACTATAAACCCCTGCGTAAGTCACCGTCCCTGCTCCCATTGCTGCTGCAACTGTGGGGCACACGGTGGACATCATCGAAACCGATGGTCGAACTGTCATATAATGGTGGCAGCGGCTGCTCGTGAAGTCTGCATTCTGGCGCTATAAGTGAACAGATTCTTTTTAACAGTAGCTCCCGAACGCGCGAATTTGTCTACCAAAGCACCGTCGATTGAAGGTCCATTAGCAGAAGACCTTAAACCTAAACCAGTATAATGTAATAAATATACAAGGATACTCATTGATATGAATAGAATATGAGTATATATATGAATACATACCCCGAGCAGTTTGGTGAAAGACCACCTCTAATGCAAGCATGGAAGTAAAATGGTAGACGGAGTTCCTGACTTATCAGACCAGAGGTCGCTTGAATGACTGACGTTGCTTCTGAGCGGATGCCCGTGAGATGAAGATTTATTTGTAAGAACATGGTGCACATTGCGTTAGGTCTATTATTATATACAGTATGCAAACATGCATTGCATGGGCTGTTTATTGGCTAATTTACATAATTTTGCTGAAAAATGGTTACTGTGTAACAAGCGGATCTGAAAACTTGCTGAAAGCTACTAATCGTGACGTGACAGAGCTTCATGTACTTGTCATAACTGCGTGCCTGAACTCGAAAAAAGGTTGACTGTAATTACTGTTGAATCAATTACACTGGTCACTGGATCAGTTATTTCAGACCGAAAGCTACTCATTGAGTTTAGCCTCTTGATATGCCTTAACCCCTGTCACATTCTCAAACTGGCTGCATGAAGGCCGGCCAGTTATGGGGTTTTGTCGACGTTATGAGCATTTATGTGGAATTTCACGTCAAATGTGACTAGCAATCGTGTCTTTTTATGAGATGTTTGTAGCGACTTTGCATGTTAACCCCTACTGCAACGTGAAGTTAGCCCTAATTCCAGAAACTACATTATTGAGAATCGCAGGGTATGAAAGTTGGTGATCTGATGAAAAAACCGCTTATCTCTGGATGGTGGCAAGGGGCCAGTCTTTCAATCCGCGAGGGGCCAACTGTCCTTACGTGAAGATGCCAATCTTGCGAGTTATTTAATGTAACTGCTGATTCAGTTGCGCTTTACCGAGCATACATAGAAACCCAGTTTTTTCGCTTTTTAATTTCGTCAAAAATTAACTACGAACTTGGAGTAGATCACTTTATACAAGGTCTATAAGCCCAGACAGAGATTTCTATGTATGAATATTTGGCCGTAGTCAGTCGACCACAGCAGGTAACCGCGTAATATAAATTAGCTGCCGACGGGCAGCTAGTAATACACATTAGGGTAAGGCGATACCATACTCACATCACAGGCACCAACCAAAAGCCCATACACGCGGTTACCCGCTGTGGCTGATGGACTTCGGCCCAAATATTCATGCATAGAAATCTCGGTCTGAGCCTATAAACTCTGAATAGACTGATCTACTCCAAGTTCGTAGTTAATTCGCGGGAAAATTAAGAAGCGAGAATTTCTAAATTGGAGTATCTACCAGAACACAGACGATGAATGCTGGGGGACCCACTGACGGGTCGAGCCCCTCTCAATTGCGCCATGTCGCGACAGAATATCGGCGAGACACGCGTGTATGGGCTTTTGGTTAGTACCTATGCTGTGAGTATGGCGTCAGCCTACCCTAAATCTCAGGTTTATACGTGCCTAATGCATAAAAGCAGCCAGAAACTTCGAAATAATTCACAAACTGCCCCGATAATCGAAGAGTCGATTAGCAGGAAACTTTTTAGAAACAAAACACACTTCATTACAGTTGCATTACGACGCAATACCTTTATAAGACACATTGCTGTAAATAGGAAGACGTGGCTGATCAGTTGCATTATCTTCACTGAGTGCTTATGGCGAACGCTTACCAAATCTCCTATAGTTAATATATCCGATCGACACCGCCAGGACAACGGAACGAGTATCATTAGTTAAACGTTGAACTTAATAACCCCGATTCTGCCAACCTAGTGCTGAGTAAGGCTCGCTGACGACGGCTAGTAATACGAGAAAACTCACCGTAGTCTCCTTGGTTATTTCGATACTCTTCTTTAAGTATTTAAAAACTCCGATTTACGTCTAAGACGATTCCATCGACGGACAAAGAGATTATTTATGTTTGCCGTAGGGTTTGCTTAAAGGGGATTATCAAAGTTCCACGCACATATAAATCTGTCTTGAAAGGCCAACGTGGAACCGCTTGTCGGCGAACCACTTTCCTCCGCTGATACGGGTTTTCTGAGTACAGGATTTTGTATGTTTTCAAAGTCAGCAATTCTAAACGTCTTATTTAATTCATCGTTTTTAATTGATGCCTGTTCTTTCCGGGAATTTAGTGTAGTTCGGGTTGGATTATGCGCGCTAAGAACTGCATAGTGATTGCTTCTATGGCGAGCTATCTTCTGATAAAACATCGGGCTCCAGAAATAAGCAAATTTCGGTTTAGGATTTCGTCACATCAGTCGAAAAGAACAGGGCTGTATGGAAAAGATACGACGCAGCCTGATTTGCGAAAAGAATATACGTACATCCGTCTCAGCTATTAATCCTTTGTATATAATAGGGGAGGTGCGCTCCCTGTTCGTTCTTATAGAACTCACTCGTTACGTTGTGCCTTACGGGCTCTCTCTTGAGCCCAACTAGCAGCCGCACAGCGGCGCATGATATAGGTAGAATGTCAGTACCGATCGAAACCGACAGAACGACGAGCTTGTGGCTCAGGGGATAGAGGCGTTTGTATTCAAAGTAACAGGTCGCGAGTTCGAACCTCGGGTGTTCCACACTTCGGGGTTGGGTATGACTGTCTGACGACGGCTGATAAGCCAGAAATGGTCATTCCAGTCTCCCTTGTCTTTGTCAGTAATGACATATGCATTTATATGAGGGAACAGGGACGCTCACCGATCGCGTTACAGAACTCACTCGTCCAACTGTGCGGCTGCAGGCGGGGAAAAAGAGAGTGCCCCAAGGCAGAACGGAGCGAGTGAATGCTGTAGCGCGATCGATGAGCGCCCTCTACCATTTTGCATACCTAATCGCAATCGGCTGGTCAACAAGACCGTAACTCAGTGATTAGAGGCGTTTTAGTTCAAATCGATGAGTTACGTGATAGAGCTCCACATGTTCCACATATCGGAGCTTGATATATCTGGTTGACGACAACAAATGACCTGGAAATAACCGTTTCAGGCTCCCTTGACCTTGTCAGTAGTGCTGTATTGCATAAATATTTATGTAATGGTAGAGGGGGTGCTCATGGATCTTTTTTTAACAGACTTCACTTGTTCCGTTGTGCCTTTGGACTCTACCTCAAGACCAATCGAAGAGAAAGTTGCATAACCAATGATTGGTGAGCACCCCTCTATCATTCTACATTCTCGATCGCAATAGACAGGACAACGGACCTGTGGCTTAGTGGTTAGAGGCGTTGGACGTCTAATCAAAATGCTACGGTATTGGGCCCAGTTGTTCTACACATCAGATGTGGTAGTGACTGGCTAGGCGCCTAATGAGCCAGAAATGGCCACTTGACTCACCCTTGTTGGTAATACTATTTTGCATATATATATAATGGTAGGGGGCACTCACCGATCGTTCTTACGTACCTCACTCGTTCCATTGTGGCCTACGGGCTCTCCCTCGAGCCCAACCAGCAGCCGCGCAGCGGCGCATGATATAGGCAGTATGTTCTTACCGACAAAGACAAGGGAGACTGGAGTCGCCTTTTCTGGCTTATTAGCCGTTGTCAGCCAGTCATACTCAAGGGACGGAATGAGTTCCGTAAGAACGATCGGTTAGCGCCCCCTGCCATTGTATATTCCCGACAGAGAACCGACAGAGCAACGGGCTCGTCGTCCAGTGGTTAGAGATATGGACTTCTAACTAACAGGTCGACAGTTCGAACCTCGGGTGTTCCACACTTCGAGGTTGAGTATGACCAGCTGACGACGA